GGTTTCCTCACGGTGTATTCCACCGCCTAGCACGTGGTAAGTCAGCACTTAAAATTGCAATTAACAATTTCATTGTTGCTGGCGGGGATCGATCCCGGAATAAATTAAAAAATTTAAAAAATATCAATTTCATAATCTTCTTAATAAATTTTGTTGTTGTTGTAAGTAATTGTTCATAATTATATATTTTTAAACTTTCGTGAGTTAATTTCTTCTTATTGTAACCAACATGATGTAATGAAAAGCTATATAATACTTATAGACGATGTGTTTATTCCAATTATCATTTATGTATCCTCGTAAACAGCCTAGACTGGTAATGTGATTTAGTTTCTAGTTATTTTAAACTTGACCTTTTCTAAATGACTAGCTTAGTATAGATAGAATCCAGCTTAACCTAGAAACACAGTTTTCAGTTACACTTTTAGAAAATTTTAATATCGCGCTTTTTAGGATCAGTAAAAATAAACATGTCACATATCGTAATGCCCTTGATCGTTTTGTTTTTGACGACAAAATCTGACAATTATTTATCCCTACAAGTTTTTTTTAAGTTTCCTTTTTATTGGAAGCCATATTAACTAAATACATAGTTACGTCATCTCGTAAACTATATTTATTTAAATACTTACGGCCTACATGTTTATATGTTTTACTGATCACCCGCCCCGGCTTCGCACGGGTGATTTCTGGATCTCGACAACAGTGCCACCTACCGGGTCCAATTGAGAATCTAAACCATTCTTGAACCAACTTAATTACACACATAAATTTCATCAAAATCAGTCCAGCTGTTTAGCAGGAATTCAGTCACATACACAAGGATAGAAGAATTATATTTATAACTAGCGATGCGCCCAGGCTTCGCACGGTTGATTTCTGGATATCGACAACAACTCCACCTACTGGGTCCAATTGTGAATCTAAACCATTCTATAATCAACTTATCACACACACAAAATTTCGTCAAAATCGCTCCAGACGTTTAGGAGGAGTTCAGTCACATATACACGGACAGAAGAATTATATAATATGCATGTATTATACAGTGAATCGTGATTACTTGCCAAACGGGCACACAGGGTCGGCCGACGCACGGACATGCATAAGCTGTCTTCCCCCTACGGATGCCATGGCATATGAGCCTGAAGCTTCCTCTTGATTCATTCTGTATATTGATGAAAATCGAATTAAAATCCGTTGCGTAGTTTAAAAGATCTAAGCTTACAGACGGCGGGAAGCGACTTTGTTTTATAGTATACAGAGAAGAAGCTACGTCTGTCAAGAGGTACCGCAAAAATACATTTGACTAATTGAAAAATCAAATGAAGTATTCTTCTGATAGTTTGGTTCTCACTCCGAATGCACGTGGTATATAATAATCATTTACCCCACAGTTGCTTCACATTCAATTTGTAACTTTGGTTTAAACTAGGAAGAGTCTTGTGATGATAATTTATAATTGATGAAAAGAGAATTATTCAAATTATTTTGAAAGCAAATTCGCACAATCATACAACATCGCGAATGTGAATTCATGAATATGTAAGTACCTAAAGAAGGAAATTGGAACGGATTTCAGTAGACTTGCGACGAATAGTATATTTGGCCACACGCCGAATACCGAATATTCTGCGCATTTCTTGGCTGAATAGCCGAATATTAGGCAAAAGTCTCAAATAATAGCAGCGTAAAATAGCAGCTTAACACTGCTGTGTTTCGCTGTGTGTTGGTGATGGTGAGTGTAGAGAACCGGAGACCCTTTTACTGGAAAAGAGGCATTCCATCTTAGTCCTCACGGATGACAACGCATCTGCATTTTGATTCTTTATTGAGGATAGATGTAGATGTCTATGGGTCACAGCAATCACTTGCCATCAAATGTGATGGAAGGTGTTTATTCTTCACAGCGTCTATTCTCTGAATCTGGGATTGTAGAAAAAAATGAGTAAACTACTGTTTGAAAATGAAGAAAAATCAGTCTTTCTGCACTATTATTTTCCATTTTAATTACGATAATTCGAGTGCATAGACAATCATCTTGTAATTCTTTTTTTTTTAATTCTTATAATATGGAAGTTGATTATGTACCTAAGACTAATCTAATGATTACAAAAAAAAATTATAAAATAAATATTTTAATTTTACCAATTATCTGTCTACAATAAAAACTTTTACTTAAGTAGTCGGTATTCGGCCGAATAGTAATAAGTAAAAAAAGGCACTTTGGCAATTCAAAATGCTGTGTTAGTCCCTACTTTAATATATGGTAGTGAAAGTTGGGTGTGGCAGAAGAAGCACCAGAATAGAATAAACGCTGTAGAAATGCGGTCATTAAGGAGTATGCTAGGGCTGAATCTGATTGACAGGGTGAGAAATTACGTGATAAGAGAAAAGGGTGGTTTGCAAGATGACGTTGTGACCACGATTAAGAAAGGAACGCCTCCGTGGTTTGGTCATGTAGAAATAATGAACGAGGAAAGAGTGACAAAGCAAATTTATGTTGCCGAAGTGTACGGTAGAGTCGGGAAGGGACTCCCTAGACGAAGGTTTATCGACCAAATTGGCGATATATAGAAAATGGGCCAGATTAGGAGTACCCTTAACCGACGAGCGTGTATGCGTAGATATATGGATGTAATGGAGGCGAGAGAGGTGTGTCAGGATCGTGTCAAATGGAATTGTGTATACTCTACCTACCCCTCTGGGTGACAGGCGTGAGTGTTTATGTTATATTAATTCCACGAATAGGATAAATCCCCGAATAGGACGAATACTGAATAATGGCCGAATATTCGTTGCAAGTTTCATTTTCGGATACTTATTAAATTTTGCAGCTCATTTGTTGAATTGAGTCACATTTTAGTTGTTTATGGTAAAGGCTTTTAACATAAATTTAAGTTGTATTTTGTATTTAATTTAATTCTTTTATTTACAAAACTATAAAATATGACATCTAAATTAATTATTATGGTATATTTAACCTCATATTGGCCTGCATCTTGCAGCCCAAAAAAAAGATTTCCTACCGTTTTATCTTTATCAGCGGATTATCGGTCAATGTTAAATAATGGCGGCTGTGTTTGACGTCACGCGGAAAGTGCATTGTATTGTTTGTTTATTTAACGGAATTTTTATCACAGAATGTACTTAACTTTTATTTTTTTATTATTATGGGCCTGTGCTTGACTACTATCCTACCTGATGGCAAGTGTAAGTGGTGATGCAGCCGAAGATAGTAAAGCGCACTGACTTAGTTGTACAAAAGCCTAAATTAAATTTAACTGTTTATTGAATGTGCTATGTAATTCATAAACATTCTAATAAATCATAACATATTGATAGCTCGGTAGCGTAGTAGAATGTGTTTGAATGCGGGACGCGGGTTTGATGCCGCACGAAGCAAGTATTTTTATGCCTTAAATATAATTTAAAGTTGGTAAAAAATTACCTCGCGAACATCCGCTCGATAAAATAAAATGATGTGTCTTACTTAGTTTGAAGAGCACCTCCCGCCCTCCCTCAATTGCACTATCCCCGTCACCACTAATCCCAGCACCACTACTCCCAACACCACTACACTAGGAAAGACACACCACTGACGACAATACGAAACGTGTTTCGTCTCTACACGAGGCATCTTCAGGTGATGTAGACTCTGCGGTGGCTGACCGTTAAGTAAATATAATTGTTCCGGGTTTGGATGTTTGTCGTTAAACGATTTATTTATGTTAAGCATCTCTACTTAACATTAGAAATTCTTAGTGTAGGAGTTCCTAGTTTTCAAAAGAAAACATTTTTTATCAAAAGGAATTAGAGGATGTTCTCAATTCGACAGTTTGTTTTTGTTATATGTTTGTTACACGTAGTCTTCCTTTATATAACTTATGGTACCTCAATGTCGGTGATAACATTTAAATTTTAAGAAAAATAATTCAATCCCTAAAGGTGGAACAAATTGTTTAATGTAAATTGTTAATTTGGCATGTTTTATATATATATATATATATATATATATATATATATATATATATATATATATATATATATATATATATATATATATGTGTCATAAGAGACCACTAGGGATACGCGTAAGGAATCTTCTGGCTTCCGAAAGATGGCGGTATAACCATTTCGTCTACGCCAGTCATGCGTTAAATACCCAGACCGGTGACGGAGAACAGTGACAGTGGTGAGTAACTTCTGATATTGCCGTACTGCGATCTTCTGCCAATCGTGACGGTTAAAGCTAAACCTCTCAACAACGAGAGAAGATGTGTTCACCTGCGGACTTTTACAACCACTGTGTGATTTAATATGAATAAACATCGTGGAAAGTGGAAGTCGACATTGGCGTGTGAGGCTGTTGTTGATATGGGGTAGGCTTGTGTCAATCTTGAATGATTCGTTCGGTTGACCCGACGCTTCAAAGTATTGATGATTGCAATACATTTTTTGCTTGCGTTGCGGATGAAAAGATTGACAGGACCTACAATTATAACCTGTGTCCCATGGTTGACTGTGTGCACAAATTTTGAATATATTGCTACCGACCAAAGAGTATAGTAATGTCCGATGACCTACAGAATTGAGTGGGTCTCACAGATCACAGATAGACATGTGTCATTCATTCACTTCTGGTAACCCGGTCGATCATTTATATTGACAATTTCTACTCTAGTTTCTAGTACTTCTGTGATTTGTGAGACCCGCTCGATAACTATACTCTTTGGTCGCAGGTGCTGTCTATCGTTCGATCCAGAACGTTCAAAAATGTAATTGCAATCGTCAATACTTTTATGCGATCTGCGTCAAATGAACGAATTATTCACGATTGACACATGTCTATCACAGAGTACTGAAATTCGAAATGATCCATTTGGATGATCGGCTAATGACCCGATTCGTATGACTAATCAATACTCGAACGATAGGATCTCTAGAAATGGATATTTGACACATGTCTCTAAATATTATATGTTGTGGTTGTTCGGCAGCGGTGCGTGTGGCACTGCGGCGGCGGAGGGCGGTGCGCGCGCGATGCGGCAGCGGCGCACTACCGGGCCGTGTGCCGCGCGCTCGTCGCCGAGGCGCTCGAGCTGGCGTCGTTCCTGGCACGCGTGCGGGTCGGAGGCGCGCGCGACCTCGGCGCCGCGGAGGATTCCGCCACGCATCTCGACACGCTGCACTTCTCTGATTGGGTACGTGACTACCAGTACACTTGAGTTCCCAAGTGATTTAAACTATCAACGGGAACGCCCAATACGTGACCACCACGCATCTCGACACGCTGCACTTCCCTGATTGAGTATGTAACTACGAGTACAATCGAGTAGTCAAGTGTTATCATACGTCTATCAATGGCGACACTCATGTCGTGGTCGCCGCGGTGAACTCTGCCGCCACACACTTTACCGCGCTTATTGGGTATATATATATATATATCTCTGATCGTGCATGTTACTTTAAATGTAATCAAAATTTAATCTCTTTATCAACGTGTAGGAGCTTTAACATTAAAACTTAAGGACAGAACGCTCGCCTTACAGTACTTACATATTAAGCGACCTGAATTCGATAACAAGTTACTAGCAGCACATTTTAAATGCTGATTACCAAGTGCTGAGCGCTTAAACTATCGTCAGATAACCTACATGTCTAAAAAAGGAAAAAGAAAATATATAGGCGTCATGTGAAGAGTGAATGTGTTTTTTTTAGGAGACCGTACCCGAAGGGTAACCAAAGGGATTCTATTACTAAGCCTCCGCTGTTCGTCCGCCTGTCTGTCAGCGGGCTGTATCATGATCCGTCATAGATAGACAGTTGAAATTTTCACAGAATGTGTATTACTGTTGCCGCTATAACAACTAATAATAAAAATAAATTAATAATTTAAGGGGGCTCCCTTACTAGAAAGAAACGTGTTTTACAATGATACTGAACCCTTCATGCGCGAGTACGACTCGGACTTGGCCGGTTTTTTATAAAACTGAAGTGAAAAGTGAACTCGCAGCTCACCTGATGGTAGGTTGCTACTGCAGTCCATGGACAACTGCATCCAACTTCAAACATAGAATACATGCGTTGCCAACTCTGAGGATTAAGATAGGATGCCTCACAGCCATTACACATTTCTTTTTTATTAGAAAGAGTGTAAATTATTTACTTTTTAAATTTTGCCAAACTGTAAGCCAGTTTGTCGACAACGCAACAGTTTATCGTTTCACTCTCCTTAATAATAATATCTGGTACTTATAAATACATAGATTAACACATAAATAATTAAAGAAACATTCGTTCACCATTATGTACACAACGACAGATAATGTTTCCTCAAGATGGTTTTACATTTACATTATCACAGCATTATATACTTTGTGTGCAACTGCTATTTGGCGATAGAAATAGGGAGGGATGGGGGGGGGGGGGCTACCCAGATGGCCTTCTAGATAGAAAACGGGTCCTACCATTTAGTCTGTCATTTATATCGCACTGGGATAGCGTCGCGAACTCTTTTCGCGGAGTAAACGGCAAAACTAGGCAAGAATTTTCCGGTACTGGCAATATTACACTAGCACTGTGTATTTCTCCCTCACTTCCATAAAAAATACCTACTCCATTGATTTCCGGCACGGTTAAATAAATACACTATCTGTATTGTGATACTTTATTGAGGATAAAAGTAGATGTCTATGCGTTACAGCAACCAATTACCATCAGGTGGACTGTGTGCTCACTTGTCACCCAATCCTATATAAAAAAGTAACAATCGCAAAATTATCACTAGCCCGTATCGCAGGTTTCTCAAATATTTAAATAAATAATAACAAATAAATAAATTGTTTGTTGTTTCTCAATACATTGTCATGCATTACAGAAATTGAGGTAGCTCCAATAAGTTATAAAATACTTGTGTTGGGACTACCTCGCTGCTTCCTTAAAGCTACCTAATACAGTATTGAAACCAATTCATACAATAAATACTTGTTTTTAAATATTTGTTTAAAAGAAAACTTAAAACCTTAAGTTACTATCTATATTTATAAATTATTTGAGTGGTAACATTAGGTTGTTTTAAGTTAATCTAACGAATTTTTTTTATAGGATAGGGTGACAAACGATCACACAGTCCACCTGATGGTAAGTGGTTGCTGTGGCTCACAGACATCTACTTTTATCCTCAATAAAGAATCAAAATGCAGATGCGTCGTCACCCGTGAGTACTAAGATGGAATGCCTCTTTTCCAGTAAAATGGGTCTCCGGTTCTCTACACTCACCATACGAAACACAGCAGCGTTAAGCTGCTATTTGACGCTGATATTCTGTGAGAGCGTGGTCCTTCCCCGGTCGAGCCGACCCATTTGTGCTACAACTATACTACTAATATAGTTGCGGCATGGTTCTACCACGTACGAGTAGATAAAAAAATATAATCCCACGAGTATCCGTTTTGTAGGTAAAATGTACATGTACTGTTAATGAGTGTTCTAGGAATTCAGCGTTGAATTAATTGTAAAATTCGTGTGAAGGTGTCACCTGGCAAAGCGTAATAGGGATTACTTGATCCTTGTATAAACAGCGGAAAAATATTTGTTTGTTGTCGATATTAGCATACATATATTTTCAAAGAGTAGCCAAATTTTAAACGTTATGTTCAAATATAGAAAAAATAGTGGATATGCCGTTATTGCAATAAATAAGGCTTCCACTTTTATCTGAAATTATCCCAAATTGAATGTGATTCATGGGCAACAACTACCCGTACTCGCGTTCCTTTGTGTGCGACCCTTACGAATGTGTGTGTGCGTAGTAAAATAATGCATTACGAGGCATTTTGAATTTAAAATATAACAGAGATTTCTTTTAATTAATTTTGTTCGCCGTTTGGCTATATTACATATTTTGAATATTCTCTGCAAATTTGACCGGTTATTGCAAAATAACTCTGAATAGTCTAGTAATGGTTTAAGAATATTATATTGTTTACCTAAATACGACAAAAATACATGTTCCGTGCGGAATTAGCCCACGGTCCTCAGCACAGCAACTCAATGCTAAGCCACTACGCCACGTAGCCGCCGTTATCTTTTGAGTCGCGGAGATGTAAGCTGAAAGGTCACGGACAAACGTTAATAAAAAGTTATTTAGCTATTTTCGTGTCAACCGTAGGCAATGTTAAGTGACCTTTTCAGTTTTATGATTTATGAGCGCAATATTACGTAGGTGTTTGCTTGAGCAAGGGCTAACGTTGTGTAACAATTATTGTAGGGCGGTTTAGTTTAGTTTTAGGTCCCAAATGGCCAACATTTGAACGGATGCAATGCCGAAGTCATTAAATGTATTTTCGTTGTGACCCAGTTTGTTATGAATTTATTGTCAATTTATCATTTAATATACGCTTTTGTGAGCACATACGTTTATATTTAGAGTCTAATTTATAATTTGGTCTAAGGTTTGGTCTACATACATTATATATTGCCTACCCTCTACGTGACAGGCGTGAGACTACGGACTTCCATTTAGCACGATTCTGTCATACTCGTAACTCTCTCGTTTCTCTCACATCCATATATCAAACATATATAAAACCGTTGTATTTAAATGAATAAATAAATATCTGCGCTTACCTGCTCGCCGACTAAGGGTATTCTTAACTTCACCTATCTTCAAAATATCGCCAAGTTGGTCGATAAAATTCCGTCTATTGACGACTCTGCCACTCACTTTTGCAGCCTAAATCTGCTTTGTTTGTTTTCTTTTGTGTCCAAATCACCAAAGCATGCCTTAGAAAAGTCTAATCCTGGTCATAACAACATCTTATTGCAAACCACACTTCTTTCATAATATATCACCATTTCTCACTCTAAAATTCAGTCAGCCCTGAATAATAGAGATCTAATTGAACACAAAATAGAAAACTAAATCAAGTGTTTTACTACCAGAAGTAGAAAATTCAATTAATTTTATTCATTATAGTGCCATCTATCTAATTGAAATAATATACACAGGTTATCAAGTATATTTAACCATTACCATTCAGCCTAACGAAAGTGCACTGCTGAATACAGGTCTCCCACGTAGATTGTCTCTTATGAGAAATATTTCCCATAGTTGCCTCCCTTGGTTTGTGGTAATTTTTTTTATTTTTAGTTGTAATCAGGAAGACGATGTTGTCCATCTCCTGTTTTATTTCCTTCTGTCGCCTCTTACAACACCCACGGGACTGTATAGAATGGTGTATATTCCTTCGATCAACAGTGTTGATCGAAAGTACAAATACAAATAATTGATCCGGGTCTAGATGTTTTTCCTTTTGCAATTTATGTGTCCTCGATACAGGCGAAAAATCTAATGTTGTAACGTATTTCAAATAAAAGGAACACAGATCTACTCGGAAATATATTCTTTTTAAGTTTTCGCCATTGATAAGAAGTTTTATTTGCTTGTACGTACCTACGTTTTATTAATTTTAAGGATTTTAATTTTACAAAACACGCAAGTGTTCATGATAATATAAAAATTAGAGGTGCTCGTATGTATGTTTATTGGTGGAACGTGAACAAGATTTTTTGTGAAAATAATTGCAAAAAGAAAAACCATGTAAATGAAGCACCTAAAAATACCAGATCATTACTCCATGAATTAAATAAAGAATCTGTTAGGTACTGTTCGCCTGCGTTGGTACTAGGCGTGTGATTAAGACTGAAAGGGTACTGGATTACTGTTGTATATTAATACGTAACGTGCCTTACATACAAAAATGCGATGAATTGAGTGCGAATTCTGAATAATCATTATCATTTAGTGACATTTCTTTGATGGAAAAATTTTTGATTTTTCGATTTGCAATGAAATTTCTTTCTACTTCGTTAGTTTCACCGTAAATTTTGAAAGAAATTGGAAACGCTCTATTGATATAAAAACAAATAATTTTAATATCTCATTTATAGTCAAACCGAAGGATTTGGAGAGCATTGCAAGTATGTACATAGGCGCTTAAAAACGTAGTGCATTCAATACTTATATGTTATTTTACGTATATTTTTTGTCGCGCCTTTTCAATGTCGATGCATGTGATACCCTTCCATTAAAATGTGAAATTGCTAATGATCATGTTTATTTTATTATTTGTTAATCTTATTTATTTTTGTTTTGTTTATGTTGTATAATATTATTACTTTGGACTATTGCGTAGCAATATTGCTTTCTATGTTAATTGCTATTTTATTTTTACAGGCGCGTTTCTGGATGCAAGTAATCGGAGAACTGCGGATGGGTGTGAAATTAAAGAAGGTTAACTATTCTAGAACTCCCATCGAATACGAGCTGACGCCATACGAAATCCTTATGGATGACATCAGGTCAAGAAGGTATACTTTAAGGAAAGTGGACGGAGCAATACCTCAAAGGTAAGCTTACCACACATACCGCACAAGATATAAGAGTATGCTACTCTTATATGTTGTGTAAATAATAGTATTTAATCAATTATTTTACAAAAACCTTCTGTTTTAACCCATATTGTATATGCCGTAGTAACGACTCAATTATTTATCAATGATTTAGGTATTGATCGAAATATTAAAAAATTATCAATCAAAATAAAAGAAAGAAAAAGAGAATAAGAGAAATATCAGAGATATTTTTAAAGTGACATTTGTAAATTCATATTAATTAATTTTGATATTTTCTAATCTGACATTATTTATAACTAAATTCGTTTCTTTAACAGTGTAAAGAAGGACGCACACGCCATGATTCTCGAGTTTATAAGAAGTAGGCCGCCACTCAGAAAGGTTAGTACCTACTTACAATGTTATGTCTGTGTGGATGAAAATATTTAGAAATTATAACGTGAAGGTGAAGTCCACCTCTGCGCACTAGAGCAGGATTTTGATGATGTAGTTAGCAGTGGCGCAAGCGAATTTACTACATAAGGTACGTTGGGGTAATACCGGACGGATTTTCGAATAGTTGGAAGAGTCTACCAAAAACTTTAATTTCTCGACATTCGTATACGTCAGATTTATGGAACATGGAGCCAACCGTTAATCGTTAAACGTAGTTTAGCTCTGAGAATCTTTTGCTTGTGTAAACTCAACGGTTTCTGCTTTAAAGGTGTGCGAAAACTAGACATACTTTTTTATATGCATAATGAAAAATTGGCCATTAAGGGGTAAGACCGGACTTAAATTTAAAACCACTTCTACTGCTTAGAGAAAAAAGTTTATAAAAGAGATTTGTCCTATCTTTAACGCTCAAAAACATATTTTAATATGATCTATAAATTACTAGAAACATAAATGTTCCAAACGATTTTCTCTTTTTTTGTTTCTTGCCATCCGATCTTATCCCTGATATAAAGAAATTGTAATTTTATGTTTCTCAAACTTTGTTATGACATAAGATGGAACACAGATTACCCCCTAACCCCTTAGGGGGTAATCTATGAGATGGAATTACTCAATATAAGAGAAAGATCGGATGCATTTGATTTTATATGGGAAAAAAAATAACAGTAAGGACTGGCGAAATGCCCTGGGATAATGCAGGGGTTAAGGAAGATATAAATATTTTAACAAAGTGGCATTTATTATTATAAATTATTTTTTAAATAATTATTATCAATTACATTTTGATTTGTAATAGAGGATAGATATAGATGTCTATGGGCCGCAGCAATCACTTAACATCATGTGGACTGAGTGCTCCTTTGTCACCCTTATCCTATAAAAAAAATGTGTTTTAATGTGTACTTAAAAGTAATAAAACCATCGTATTGTTTTATTACTTTTAAATATACAGACTTGATAACGAGACTGAGTCCCATAGTCACTTGAGTAATCAACGAAAAAATATACACGACCAATGAAAGTTTAACAACCACTGCCATATTTGTAACAGGCAAAGATCGGATAATATTCATCCGATCTTCACTCACGAGGGGAAACATCGGATCTCGGCCTACAGCGATCTTAGCCCTGCATGGACCAGCTTTATTTAGCTATAACTTCATAAAAATTAGTATCCACACAAAATAATAACAAAAGAAGCCATATTCTCGCTAAAAATCGTAAATAAAAGTGATAGGGAAAGATCGGATGGACAAAAATAATACAAAAATTACATTGTTTTATAAAATGCCGCGCAGCACAGGTCCCACTTGCCGGAGTGACTGGCGCGAACTGAGGGTCGGGGCTGGATGAAATGGCGTCGTGTAGCATATTGTTAGCTTTTCAAAATATAGCATAATTCGCCGGGAATTTGAATCCTACGGTCTTGCCCCATCACCGATCTTACCCCAACGTACCTTACTTAGAAACTCTAAGACATCATATCATCGCGTGAGTATCGTAAGAGGCTACAGAGGGAAATGAATTAAGAGGCACGCAGCAGTACCTTCTTGGTAACAACTCAAAATGATAAAAAAAACTGCGGTTGCCAACCCATCTATCAAGGTCGGCAACTATGATATATATGAATATGTGTATATGATATATGTGAGGTAATCTTTGAGTGAGGCCTATGTTCAGCAGTGAACTTTTGACAGGCTGCAATGAATAAGTGAATGATGAATGATATCTTAAGGTAGCAGAGAGGAAAACGGGTAATAGGTTTGTAATAGATTTATTGGTAGAGACGGAACACGTACCTAATCTATAATTTCTATACTCAGTTGGTCGCTTTAGGTTTGTTCGGGTTCGAGTGTATCACTGATATACGTATTTCTCACACTCTATACGGACTTTATTATATGCGCGTAAAATTAAAGAGATCACTAATGTTTATCAGTCACTATGTAAGTTTTTGTTACGCATTATAAGCCAGTGTTTGATTACAATCCCACCTGGTGGTAAGTATTAACGAAGCCCTCGCACTGTCTTAACTCTTAGCTTATCAAAAGTCTATTCACTCTTACCTTGGAGACGCCCAGATTGTGTTCCTACGAAATAACGCCGGCAAGTTATTCCACTCCTTTGCTGACGAAGCAAACCATTTGGTTCTTATGCGTGAAATATCGGCAACAAAGGGGTGAAGACCTGCCGACCGCCTTTTTGTCCAATGGTGGATTTGGGAGGGAAGAATATGAATACCAACGTAAAATAGCAGCTTAATGCTGCTGTGTTTCGTATGGTGAGTGTAGAGAACCAGAGACCCTTTTTACTGGACAAGAGGCATTCCATCTTAGTCCTCACGGGTGACAACGCATCTGCATTTTGATTCGTAATCGAGGATAAATGTAGATGTCTATGGGCCACAGTAACCACTTACCATCAAGTGGACTGTGTGCCCGTTTGTCACCCTTACCTTAAAAAAAAAAGAGGAGGAAGAGCAATTCTGTAATAATTTATGTGTTTGTATTCTCTTTTATGTATGTATGTAAAACTACACAGTATTCCTCTTCATTCCGTTCCCAAATACAACTGTCAAAGTCATCATGATAACTATCAATTTCATAATCATCAACATCATCATCATCATCACGGTCATCAGTCGTCTGTATTTGTACGGTACCTTGTGCGCAGGCCTCGGAGCGTAAGTTGCCGCCGATGCGGCGCGAGGCAACGCCACGCGAGCAGCTGCTCGCCTCCATCAAGCGCGGCCGACAGCTTCGGCCCACGGCGTACTCGCGCAGATACTGTAAGTATTATTCAATCTTTATATCCAGCATTCACCAATAATAGCACGGATAAAAAGAAACCAAATTAATTTAGTCTTTATAGGGTTCCGTAGCCAAATGGCAAAAAACGGAACCCTTACGGATTCGTCATGTCTGTCTGTCTGCCCGTCCGTATGTCACAGCCACTTTTTTCCGAAACTATAACTGAAAAATGTATATATAAAACTATGCTGTTGAAACTTGGTAAGTAGATGTATTATGTGAACGGCATTAAGATTTTCACACAAAAATAGAAAAAAAAACTATAAATTTTGAGTGTTCCCCATACTTAGAACTGAAACTCAAATTTTTTTTTCATCAAACCCATACCTACGTGTGTGGTATCTACGGATAGGTCTTTAAAAATGATATTGAGGTCTTATATATATATATATATTTTCTAAACTGAATAGTTTGCGCGGGAGACACTTCCAAAGTGGTAATATGTGCCCCCCCCTGTAACTTCTAAAATAAGAGAATGATAAAATTAAAAAAATATATGATGTACATTACTATGTAAACTTCCACTGAAAATTGGTTTGGACGAGATCTAGTAAGTAGTTTTTTTTTAATACGTCATAAATCGTAAATTATGTAACTTGTTGCTACGGAACTCATTATGGGCGATTCAACTCGCACTTGGCTGCTTTATTTAGATTGCGCTCCGGATACATTCATTCCACACTAGCACAGTGAACTATTGGAAAAACTTGAATATAGCACTGCTACATGTGTTACAGCTTGGATTTCGGTATTGGTAGAAAATGCTTACCACTTTTTTTTATAGAATAAGGGTGACAAACGAAAACACAGTCCACCTGATGGTAAGTAGTTACTGTGGCCCATAGACATCTACATTTATGCTCGATTAAGAGTCAAAATGTAGATGCGTTGTTACCCGTGAGGACTAAGATGGAATGCCTCTTTTCCAGTAAAAAGGATCTCCGGATTCTACACTCACCATATAAAACACAGAAGCATTAAGCTGCTATTTTACGCTGGTATTCTGCGAGAGCGTGGTCCTACCTATTAGTGCTACAACTGTTATATATGTAGCTGCAGCGTGGCACTACCACGTATAAAGCTTTATAATTTATAAAAAAATAATAACATTATTTCCACGATCCACGAAAAATAGGAATAATTAAAAGAAATCAAATTAAATTAGCTTTTATATTGTGTTTACGCTCCTGACACATTTTAACAGCGAAATTTGCTTAAACGACGGAAAAATCGGGATCTAGTATTGTATTACATTTAGGGGATTCCGGTATTGGTAGAAAATGCTTACCACCCTTGATGGAATGCAGTTACTGATGAGCTACCTTAAGTTGAGCAGGGATATGAAGAACATTCACTGTTCTTTGTCGCATCCAAGTACAGAATCTAAGTGTTCAGCAATCCAAGTGTATTAACTTGTAGCAATATTGGCAGTACTTTACTGAATGAAAGCAGTAGTTATTAGTTTTTATAAAATTATTATCATTTTTGATAAAATTAATAATATAATAGCAAAATTTAATTAAAAGTTGTGAGATTGAAACTGCCATTGGACTACTTCTGTGAATTATTCCTTACAGAAACATTTTAATGACAATTGCAAGCGTTTTTAAAAGAAAATGTCTTATAATAATTTTATATTTGATTAGGTGTATGCACTAGTTAATTAGGTTGGTATCTTAAATAATCTAATTTGAGTTTCAGTTCATTCATTTCCATTTTTTTAATAGTTATACTGAATTTTTGTAAGACTGTGTACTTTATCTAAAAAGATCACATAATCTTAACAGCAGTATACACAATATCATTAAATTAATACTGATTACTCATTATTATCGATCTGTAGTAATTTTCTAATTTCTAAATTGACCGCGCCATCTGTTAGATAGTCTCGACAATGATGTTGCACAAACTTTAAAGTTGCTACAAGTACTCCATAGATGGCGTAGTTGTATACTTTCATTTATAAACACTGCTCTACTCGTATTAAACTTAAGTCTTATATTCAAATACTTCGATGTATACTACTACTTACATAAATTAACAATAAATATGATTTTTAGTAATAGATTATAAGTAGCAAATTTTATTTAATAACCGTGATACACTGGGGTGTAGTAGTGCGTCAGCAGTAAGATTATTATTTGAGTTACTGTTACCGTTACCGTTACAGCCTATTAAAGTCCACACTGTTGAACATAGGCCTCCCCCATAGATTGTATCATAGGGGGATAATTTTCGTAGTTGCAACACTTGGATAGCGGGTTGGAAACCGCAGTGTTTTATTATTTTGAGATGTTATCAAGAAGATGATGCTGCCCATCTCCTGTTTCGTTTCCTTCTGTTACCTGTTACGACACCCATGGGATGAATAGAATAGAATAGAATATAATGGAATAATATTTATTCAATACAGATTACGGTAATACTTTAAAAGTAATTTTTTACTTTTACCACTGTTTCGCAAAAAACCTCTTTCCTGGGAAGAACAAACAAGAAACCCAGCGGGACTTTTTTTAAAAAAAGCACTATTTACAATATAATATTTTATACAATTGTTATGAAAACATTTAGAAACAGCATGCTAGTGATCACCTCATTCCCAGCGATTGTGGATGTAGGTACTCTTTAGTAGTAACCCTTAATGACCCCTACTATTTGTGCTTAATAAATATTTTAAACCTTTTGATAGATAAGGTCTGCATATTTTCTGGGAGATTGTTGTAAAAACATATACATTGCCCCATGAAGAAATTACTGACTCTTTGGAGTCGATGAGTGCGATTCACTTATGCCGCCCCTACACGGTAAATATACAATATATTGGAGTATAATATAAAGAATTATAACTGTTTCACTTTTGTTCCAGATTCCTAATCCTTTCCTGCAATCCAAATCCTGACGCATCCTTACGGAAGAGCAATTGTCTTTCTCCTATCAACCCTCACACTGTATTACGAAGTTTAATTAAACTTCTTTGGTTATATGTAAATATTATACTCCTTGTTTACGTCTAGTACTTTTTATTCCTATGGTAGACGAGACGGTTATATTTCTGCCATCTATCGGAGGCTATGAAATGTTCTACACCTAAAATCAATTTACCTGTGCCACATTTTGTTTGTAGAAATAAAATGCAGCCTCTATTAGCTTTTTTTTTCGTTTATATTAACCTAATATATGACTTATCACAATCATGTATTCCTGTATGTCCTAGATTTTAATCTGGTTTATTTTGGAATTGACTTAAAAGCAACTGCCTCGTTGATCTAGTGGCCGTAAGCGCGACAGTTGATCCTTTAGTTCCGGATTCGAATCTCGAGTCGAGCCAAAATCAGTCATTGGGTCTTCTGTTAGAAGTACCCAGTAGCAGCCAGGAGTTAGGAAGTTGGCTGTATTTTAGCCCTGTGTCACACACGTAAAGACGTTGGTCCTGCGCCTGATCTATCTCCGGTCGGACCAACGGACTGTGAGAGTGAATAAATAAAGAGTGCACCTGTGCTTGCGCACACAAATGCTCTATAATCATGTCTTGCGCAGATGGATAGTCTCCTTTTTCTGTCTGGACTATGTCAAAACTTTTTATATAAAGATTATTATTTGAATTTCTATCGAGAATATATCATTAGATATCAGAGGCAGTAGCTTCGATAACCGACTGACGACGGAAACTTTACCAATATTTTGAAGCCAAATTCACACACTGGTGGGGAGCGGCAATGCCTTTCATAGGGCATGTACTCTAGTCTGCCAGCATTTAGTACATTTCTTTATTTGTTAAAACATCATCATCATTACTGCCTTTCAAAAGTCCACTGCTGAACATGTGCCGCCGGCCTTCTAGGCGTCAATCGACGTATTATATCAAGAGTGTGGTCGGAGAGTTTTTGAGTTCTGCTGCAGTGGGTCTTTGATTCATTGTTCCGATCGCATGGATGGTTTTACGAGCTTATCATTGATATCGTTCACCATATCGCAGTCTTTAAGGCACTATAAACGATGTTGTGGCTCGAATTGAAACGCCATCAGAATTCTGGATCAGTTTGGAACATTGTCTTTATTAGACAGTATCTCTTTAGTTTGATGTTAAAATTCAGTGTGTCTCTAACCGTTGTAGAATACATTAAGGCGAATTTAAATAGAAGACAGTATAAAAAATATTCTAATATGTGCATCTACAAATTCGTTGATAAAATATGAAAAGGATGTATGAGCCGGTTTCCGAACAGTTTTTAAAGCCTTTTTTTACGTTTACTAAGAAGGCGAGAATATCTCGAACATTAGAGATAGAAAGCCTAGTCCTTGCTAAATGCAATAAATATTGCGCAATTAACTGTTCTTACATAAAAGCCACGGTTCATCCTAACAGAACGATAAAGTGCACTATTAATTATTTGCAATTGTTGCAATGCTTGGTAGGCGGTTTGATACCGCAGTTTTTATTGAATATTTGTATTTAGGCTAGTGCCGACCTTTCTGTTTGCTTCCCTCTGTCGCCACCCACACCCACGTGACGATATAGGGTAACGAATCGAAACGAATATAATTAAAATTAAATCTAAAGGAATTTACGTACGGACTAGGCGAAACTTGTACGGCATTGTATTGTAAAGTTGCGCGTCCAAAAGACCATGTCCTTACTCAATATGTACGCCTACCATAGAATTTATTACCGCTTTGTGTGTTGATGCGTTACGAAAGTAGATCGTAGCGCGCTTGAATAGCGCTGATGGCGTAACATGGCGCACTGTCTCTGAAAGGATGAAGATAGTGAACAGTTTCAAAATATTTGTGTAATATTTCAAAAGGCGCGTTAACTTTGAATCACTTTTAGATTGAATGATGGGGTGACTTTCAATATTTTATATTAATACTAGCGGCCCGCCCTGGTTTTGCACAGGTGACCTACCGGGTTCAAATATAGTTAAGATCCATCCAAGTGACCCCATAAGTACGCTATAAAAATTTAATTAAAATCGGT